ATGTGCTTCTTTTGGAGGCAGCAGTTCAATAGAAAACAGATACAGGAATGACACTGGCATGGGTGCTTGTTCAGATTCTACCACTGCAATCTCAGGACCTTAATAAATAGAGAGGTTGCTGCACTGAGCTGAAATAACAAGCAGAAATAACCATGTTAATTTAATCACTATGAAAGGGATTCTGCCAAGTTAAGAAACATAAATTTTAATTATATGCACACACACATATTTGAATTGTAATATATGCACAATATTTAGCTGTGACACCAAGAATACAATGGTTTACTAAAACAGGAAGAATTCTTAAATAACATTTTATTTTTCATTGATGATTTTTATTGATTTGGCATTTCCATTTTGTATAGTTCTAACTAGGTCTTATATCTGCCACATTAATCATTGTATTTGTGGTACTAATCAAAAGGAAATTTATCTAAAAACCTTCTTTAAATTTTCATGTAAAAGAGTAAGCTTTTACTTATAGTGACTTTACTGGTAGTTATTACTTGTAACAAAGATTATGTTCTCTGAAATTGTAATGTTTGAAGAAGAGCTTGTGATAGAAACCAGAAGTTACAAAGAATTTAGAACAATTAGTGGGTAGTAAATGCTGTTACCTACATTTAAAAAGAATTTGGATGTGATTCAAAGATTTAAAGGCACTTAAATTCTACATGAACATCTGAGAAATTGATTGAAACAGTAATTACATATAAGCAGTAAAGCACCTGGTACATGATGATATAAGAAGTTCTAACCAACTATGTTTTTTCCTACCAAGGAAAAGCATGCCTCACTACTTTCTTAAAATTCTTTACATGATATGTAAAGAACTAATAGGTAGTGGGGTTGACAATTTTCTTAAACTTTCTAAAGACCTTTGGTATGTCTTCAAAGACAAACTAAGAATTGTCTTGGATCAAAACTTTTGGAATAAGAGATAATGGAAGAAAGAACTTTCATTGTAGTTAAAGGCTTACTGCTGGTGCATCAAGATTTAGTGTTTGGTCCAGATTTGTACAATACAGTAATGAACAAGCTGCAGAGTGGGAATACCTTGTCAACTACAAAGATTTGCACATCTTATGAAGTTATTGAGAGCAATCATGGCCAGGAAGGTCTGTTCAGAGCACTCTGGGGAGATGTGAATGTGCCTGGGGAGTGGGCAGAGGGATGGACATTCTAATGTTACCTGTGTGTTGGAATGTGTTCCTTATGGAAAGTTCTTGTCCCCATTACAAGATTCCTAATTCTTCTGCTTAGTAAATAACTTGAGCATTGAAAGACACAGCCTGAGGAATAATCAAAAGAAATTGTAATGAATTTGTTTAAATGGGGAATGTGGTTGCATCTGAAAATGCCAGATGCAGTACTGGTCCATCTTGGGAAGACTGGTGTATAATAAGAGAAAGTTCAGAGAGGTTTGTTAGGACCACACTTCCCACAGCAGAGTAATAGGAAAGATTGTGACTGTTTATCCTTGAAAGGAGAGGAGTTAAAAGAAATTTCAAAAATTTTGGTCAAGAACTTCTATTTTCCCCAGCAAGAACAAGGGGGCTGGCAATAGATGAAGTGAAACACTCGTTCTTTCAAATCGTAGTTTAACTGTTGAACTCTATCAGGTGGGAAAACATAGAGGTAAAAGTGTATCAAAATTCAGCAAGGGCTGGGCTATTCTGTGTATTTTCAGAAGAGCCAGATTTAGGATAACTGGAAGGGATACTGCATTTATCTCTCAGGATGAAATACAGTATTTGGGTAGGTGAGTTCTTTTGCATTTCTCTCATGACAGACATTCATAGCTTCTTCTGCAGCGTGTGAGGTGACTGCATAGTGTGGAATGAGCAAAATCAAAGCAGAGGCAAGCATGGGCTCACAGCTTAATTTCTTAAGCCCAGAAGGGTCTTCCTCTGGCCTTGTTTGATGCTTCAGGTAGTGGTTGGTACCTTCATAAGCAGGACGGTGAGTGGAACAGACCCCACCTTACTTCAAAATAGCAGTTCCCATGGTCTGGGGAAAGCCTTGATCTTTCACAAGAAAACTACCTTTTGGTTTTTGAGTTGGATCCTCAGTTTTCTTTAGGGTACTGGCATAAGAGTAAAAGATACTTTTATTGCTTTTATGGGAAAATCATGCATAGTTAAATAGGAAAGAGAAAATAAGGGATTTAGTGAAATGAATTTAATGATCCCTGGTAGTGTTTAACTATTTCTGTAAGTTAACTGAACTATCTTTCAGATTTTTAGAAGACTTTCATCTCTGGGGTTCAAAAACTGGTTTGGAACCATAATTTCCTGTCTTCATTATTGTACCCTTTACAGACTAGCCATCTTCCAGGAAGAATTGAATTAATTACAAAGACTGAACCCATTACAAGGGGTTGTCTTTGGATCTCTGAAGGTTTTTATGCTATAAACTCTACATTCCAGATAATACAGTGTCTGCTTTTTCCCACTTTCTAGAGATATTTAGGAATTAAAATGTGTTCATAGAAGCTACCAGTGGAGAGGAAAATGAAGGAGTTTAATGGCAGTCAGTTTAGTGGGAAAATGGGAGGCAGACACTGAGTTTATTTTCACTGGATGCCCAGCTCACTAGCTTAACTTCTTGGTGATTCAGTTTCCCCATCAACTGTGAATAAAAATATTACCTTACAACGCCTTGTCAGTAAGATGTTAAATTTAGTAATTAGAAAATGCTCTGAGAGTTTTGGATGAAAATTCCTCCTGGAGTGTTGTTGTTGGGAAGTAGCAGTGCCACACAGAACAGCCATGCCTATTAAAGACAGCTGCCTGTTTTGACCTGAAAGCCTACCTTTTTCCCTCTTTTCAAACTTAGTTTTTGATATCTCTGGAACAAATGGGGAGTAGTTCCACCTTCATATATGTTCTACTTATCCCTCAGCCTTTCCTTGCTCATTCCCTTTTCTAATGCATTCATTTGCTGAATGTATTGGTATCCAGAGACAGGCATAGCTTGTCACAGTGAAGACATGTTTGTTTCCAATGCCCTTGAGCTTGCTTGAAGCTTCTTTGCTTGCTGAATTTGTGATGACCCCTTGGGGTTTGCAGTCCCTCAAGGTTCTAAATACAGAGCAAATGGCCTTTTGCACCCAAGCACAGGACTTTGAACCCAAGCCAAGCCCACATCCAGAGATGATTATGGAGGTTCCTCAGTGACTTCAGATTCAAGCTTTGGGATTTGCACATAAATCAAGTCAAAAATCCCTTCTTTCTATTGAAATGTCTGGATCCAGAGGGAGGTACTAGGAGTTCATACAGGGAAATTCAATCTGTATGATTCTCTTTTGACTTTTCTTTTTTATAGCTCAAGCAAGGGAGAAGTTGGGGAAGGGACCATGATGGGGTGGGTATGCAGAGCTTAATGCTGAAAACAGAGGCCTGATTGAATAGAGCTCCTTGTGATGAGAAGGGGGATCAATTCACAGTTGACCCCATCCCATTGTGTGGGTTGTCCTGGGAGTTTCCTTTAAAATCCCAGTGGTTTGGTTTTTCTGCATGGTTTGTACCCAGCCTTTCCCTCCATGAATAGAATAGCTTTTCCTGGAATTTTTGCTGGATTTTCTGTGGTTATTGGCTGAGCAACGCTCTCTCACTTCAGAAGATTGGAGCAAGTACATTGTGGAAGTACTGATCAGGGATGCTGAATCATTTGCTAACTTAAAGTTTTTTGTATACAGAACAAACATATTCCTGGGACACAACTGCCCCCAAGAAGCAGATTATACTTTACTGTCCCAGGTGGAAGTGCTCATTCATTATTTGGTTTGCAAGAGTGGTTTGGGAATTTAAAAACACATTAATTTCTGCCCTGCAGTATTTACAGTTCATGGTGATAGAAAGGCAGGGAGCTTCAGACAGACTGGGGAACAAAACATTGTTCTAAAGCATAAGTAGGCAGAGCTGTGAATTAAGGACACCAGATGCTGATTTGTAGGCATCATTCTTGTACATTATTATTTGTAAATATACTGGTCTAGAGAAAGGAATTAATTTCAGAAGGGAAGGAGTACTTGAGAAATCCATACCTGGCAGTGTCAGGTAAAGACGTGCAGGATGTTTCCCTGCCAGAGGATTGCTCTAAATATGCTCCTCTATGAGTGGGGTAGAGGCTAGGGTCTACAAGGAAAACTGGATTATTGCCCAGGCATATTTTTACATCTTGCTAAAGTTAACATGCTATCATAATCTAGTGGCAGCATTTGAAAGGGGAATGAAGCTCTGTTCCTTCACTTCTCCAGCAAGTTGCATCAAACTTCCTCATAAATCCACAGTGTCTTTGGAGCTCTTGTCTTTGGAGCTTCCTGAGCCAGCCTGTGGCTCTTCCTGCACCCTGACTGGGTGTTGTCCCATTTTATGGGCAAGATTCTGCACTCACAACTGTGTTTCTTTGCTGGTATCACCAGCTGGAGCCAATCAGAGGTTTTATCTAGTCAGTATTAAAGGAAAATTCAAGACAGGTCTCTTTGTTTTTCAATGTAAGGTCTCAGCATTGGCCCCCCACACAAGCTTTCTGTTTTCCCACATGTAGAATATGCCCTGGTGTAGGAGAATGAGGATTGAAGCTATACTATATAAACTGTGCCAGATGCTAAATTGCATTAAGCTACTTTTCTTCTTCAGGAGATCAGATTCTTCATATTTGTTATTTCAGTATCTTAAAAAGTCCTGGTTTTGTTCTTTATTTGAAGCATAGGGAGTTTACACAAAGGAGAAGGATTTTCCCCCATTTATTTCCTCCTGATAAAATATATCCAGCCTTTTTTTCCTGTAAACAAGCACAGTAAATGAAAAGATACCAGGTTTTCAGTAGGATAGAATTTAATCATATATGGAGTTTCTTAGTGGTTAAATGAACTTGAAGAGTTCCCTTTCAAGATAGAAACAAGTTTGAAAGTCTGTTCATCTTCTGCTTGACATCTCTGTCCTTATTGTTAGCCCTTTGGGGGAGACACACAGTGAGTGTGTTTTGTTTTTCAGAAGTTGATCTGCCTCTGAAAAAAGATGGGTTCACCTCAGAAAGTACAACTCTGGAAGCCTTGCTGCGTGGAGAGGGAATAGAGAAAAAAACAGACACTAAAGAGGAAGACACTATACAAGAAATCCAGGTAAAGGAGAGCCCCATGCCCTGACATCAGGGCTGGATTTTACAATTTGTCTCTAAGTCTAGCAGTCTTTTGTCCTGTGGCAGAACAGTGTATCTGTTGATAGTTGTGTCATTCTGCTGCCAAAATGTTATCAAACCTTTGTGCTACACTGTGATGCTCAAAATGATGTCAGTATCTCACACGCTTCTCTTGTCACAAGATCTTTGTTGTTTGGCTGTGTTCTGCACAGGTCCTGTGTTGGAATTTTTTTTGCAGCACTATGAGATAATTACATAAAAAACTGAGAAGCTGAGGTGGATCCCAACAATAAACTGAATTTTAATGGTTCACATTTGAAGTGAGTTTCACAGATTTCAATTTGGATTCACAGCTGCTGTAGACTAAAACATGTCATTGCCTTGCCTGTTTTGGTTTTTTTATTTGTATGTTTTTAATAGTAGGTAGCCTTCTGGAAGAAAGAAAAGGAAATATATACAAAAAATATACAAGAATATATTTTGTATATACAAAATATACAAGAAAAACAACTTAAAAATTGTAATCTTAAATATCTCAACTATTATTAGTGATGCAGTGAGAAATATTGTCTCTTCACATGCATTTTGATTTGAAAATTGTCGAGATTCCATTTCATCCTTCAACAATTAAAAGCCAAAACACAATTCTAGGTCTGTTATAGAAGGAATTCAGCTAATGTAAAACCTTCTTGTATAAGTCCATGTCACTTTTAAAACATCTTAAATCACTAGGAAAGGGGACCTCTCCCACAGCAGCCCATCTTTGGTGATGCTAAAACACCATTATGCCATGAGTATTTTTAGGGATTTTTAGTGAGAGTTATTAGCAATGTGTCAAACTTGGTCATTTTAGGTGAGATACAAAATGTTGCATCTATACCTAAAAGCAGTAAAAATTTGAGGGGTCAGTGCCATGCCAAATGAAACAGAAAAACATGGGCATCATATCTGTATTACCTGGAGTTCAGTCCCACTGCTCTATTTGTTAGAAATTGCACACAGGTAAGGGTGGCACAATTGGGTGTCCCATTCCCAGCTGCACAGGTAAAAGAGTCCTATCAAAGAGGAAGCATGCCATGCTCATGGACTGGGGAAAAGCTTGGCATGAGCCCTGCTCTGTGTTTGCTCCTTCAGTAGTGTATCTGGGTCTGCTAAGCTGAAAACTCTTACTAAAGGTCTGTTTTTACCTGCTCCCAAGGTCACAAGGAGTCACGGTGCAGCATCCTTATGAAATTGGCAAGTGCCTTTTGAATGTTGCTGTGTGATCTGAGCTCCCAAATTATCCCCAGCAGCAGTCTGAGGAAAGAGACTTCAGAGAAGGTGGAACTGACATAAATCCAGGCATTGCAGAGCAGGGAGGGGGTGCAAAAAAATAGAACAGATTTTCAGCTAAACTGCTGTGGCTGTAACCTCTCACCTGGATGCTAGTTCCATCAGAACAGATGCAAAAGGCATGTCTTGCTGCTTTATTTTATGCAAGCACATCTTATCTGGACTCAGTCTGTAAAACAATGATTGCCAAAGCCTGCACTAGTAGGCAGCTTTCAGTGTGTATTTTGTCACCTGGCAGCTTGACTGTACCAGATAAAAATCACAATCAGCACCTTTATCAGTATGATAAATAAGAGAATCCAAATCTCTCTCTTGTTCCTTTGCATACTTGTCTGTGCTGTAACTCTAAAGGGCCCAGCCTCAATGGTGGTGAGAGTGAGCAGGTGGGATTGACATAATTGTAATTCCCACCTCGGTCCCAGCCACTTGCCACCCTCCCAAATTCACAGTATCTGTCAGGAGAAGACAACTAGGTGCTTGGCTTCACCAATGTACATCGGGCTAGGAAACTGTTTTAGAAAGACATAATAGGAAAAGTTACTCTGCTAAAACATGTAAGGGTTCCCCCTGCTAAATTGATGCAGGCATTGGGACCTGCTGTACAGTTGGTATGTAACAGGATTGACGATTTTGCCCTACAGTCAATTGGTATTGAATGTGTCTCTCCATTGTTTGATGGAAAAGAGTTAAGAGTAGCCTTCTGACCATGCAGCAGCAAGGCTATGCCCCTTCTATCAAGGATTAAAGTAATTACTCTGGCAGTGTCACCAAATTCATACTTGGTTACATATTATCTCTTTCCTAAATTGATACTTCAATTTTAAAGGGAGAAAGTAGTTTGTAATATTTTTACTAACTCTTGTGTAGTTTTGTTGCAAATTAGCTTCTTTCCCTCTCACATACGATGTAGTTGCCCCTGTTTTCTTGGGGTTTTTTTTTGGATACTTTAAGATATAAAGCAACATGAAAATACAAACTCATATCAGTAAGTTTGCTTATTTTCTTACATACATTCTTACATTTCTTACAGTCTTCTCATGTACAGCATTTTTCAAGCACTTGAGTCCCAAGATAAAGTCAATTAATGTACGCAGTTGTATGAGTTTTGAAGAAACATTTTATGTATGCAGAAACTTGTTTAACCTTTTACACCCTCTAGTATTTAGTACATCCAGTATTATGTGAAATTGTATTTCATGATGGTTGGAGCTCATTAACAGCCTCCTGATATTCAAAAATAGAAGAAGCAAAAATTAAATTAATACTTGATCTTTGTCATGTGCTACAACTTGTTTGTAGTGCACTGACCAGTATTAGTCTTAGAAATTTGGCTGATAAAATAGGAATAAACTTTTGGAACTAGTCTTCTAAATACAGTGTTTGTGATATGTGAAATTTCTGTTGTATTCTTTCCCACAAATTCAAAATTTGGTGCTTGAGGTATGTGGAAAGGAGAGAAAGAAACTGATTTGCTTCTGTTCCCCCTCTGCTGTCTCTCAAATAGCTTTTAAGTAGAAATTAGAGAAAAGGGACAAATACAGTAAGACTGAAGAACATTCCTATCAGTTTAATGTCATTATTTGATTCTACATCATGGCTGCAATTTAAATGAATGTTGGCATGGCAAAGGTAAGTTAGTGATTCCGGATTAAGGTTAGTTAGTGATTCCTTGCAAAATCACAGAGCACTATAAATGCCAGGAGTGGTTGGGGCCAATTTCTCCATTACTAGCAGACATGGCAAGGATTGAGGGAATTTCAATGGCACTTCTTCCCATATTAGTATTGTGATTATTTGTTTGGCCTTTTTCCATGATGTCTGACTTGTGCATGTTTTTATGCAGGACAGCCAGCCTGTGTTTGGTTGTGTAGAGGTTACATTTCAAAAGATCAAGTTAAAAGATTGAAATTGCCTGGCCCAGGCATCTCACAGTTATGTGAGCTGATGAAATATTGTTCCTAATAAATAGTTGAATGCATTATTGCTGTTGGTGCTGTTAACTTCAACAAGACCTGGAATTCCTCAGCATTCTCATGCAACAAACTTCCTGCTTCCAGATTGGAGATGTACCTGTAATGCAAGCCCTGAAAAACATGGCTTTCTAGATCCATTCTGTAATATATAGAGGAATTTTCTCTATTTTTACTAAGGAAAGAAGATTGTGAGCTACCAAGGAGAAAACCACTGTTTTTGTATTCCTAAAGTACACTCTCAACATTAGAAGAAAACAAAACAATTTAAATTGCAACAAATGAAAATCAAAAACCCAGGCAAACAAATTCCCAGACAGGGCCTGCAGTTATGCATACCAATATTTGTGTTGTCTTGGAATATTGGTGCTCAGTGATGCCAGTATTTTTCTTAGGAACCTTTTTATCATAGTTGACTGATATCAGTAGTATTTTTTTAGTAGGAATTCCCTGGAGATCTTAAGGTGGAAAAGAGAGCAAATTTTGCTTTGGTAGAGAGAAGCAGGGGTATTGGGATCTGATTTGGGTTTCTATCAACTGTAATAACCCACAGTCACTAAGGTAAAGAGCAGTAGTTGGTTGTATGTGTCCTCCTTTTTCCTTCTAACCATTCCTGTTTATTGTTCAACCACAGAGGGTTTTAGAAAATGATGAAAATGCAGATGAAGTGAACGAGGAAGAAGACTTGGAAGAAGATATTCCAAAACGAAAGAACAGGCCTAGAGGACGGGTAAGTGGAAAGTTTATTGGAAAGGAAGGAAGCAAACCTCTCCTTTCTAGTGTACATTTCTTTTGTGTATTATGTATACAAAGTATTTATCCATGAATATATGATAGTGATAATACTATAGGTAATTTTCAGTCATATGTAATAGATTTTTAGTATTTTTTTAGTTTATTTTTGTGAATTTCTGTGAAACAAAATAACTATTTTGAGAGTAAAAATTCTGGGGAAATTTATTTTAGTATTGTATTTGTAATTGTAATGTAAATGGTAATAACTATGATGACATCCTGCTATTACAATGCTCCTTAAAAAAAATTACTTATTACAGAAAAGCAGCAAATTCAGTCATGACAGCCAAAAAAAGTATTAATGAAAGTAACTTGAACTGTGTTAATAAGTTTTGCAGCTTTCTCCAGGGTAGCATTTTGTGGCTGACGCTGGCTCTCTTGAGCCCATGGCAAATCTTCCATTTGCTTGAAAAGGGCAATATTTTATCCTTAGGGGACTCTGTGTCCCTTCTCTTACCCTTATGTCTTCACAATTCATCAGGGTACCAGTTAAGTAACGAGGCCAAGATTTTAAACTTGGAATCAACATTTTTAATTGTGGGCCCGTAAGCTAGGCATCTAAATAAACCTGAACACAAGTCTCAGAAGTTTTGAGCATTTTCATCTCTCTTTGGCTCCAGTGGATGCTGCAGGGGCACAGGAGCTCTAGAAGTACCTTTTGATGTGTTTATAGAAGTCAAGCAAGAAGGGCCACATTTTAGGCCAAATGAGCAGAATATAATAGTTTTGAATAAGAGACATGAAACCACATTGAATACTTACAATGTACTTATGCATCAGACCCTCTCTTTTGGTTTCTTCTTTGGTTGTTGTGTTGTTTCAGTTTTCTGCTCCCCTTTATTTTGGAGCTTAAGTCTTTTAATATAAGATCAAAGCACTTTAATAATTGGATAAGTATATATTTCACCTTCCTTATTCTCAAAATCACCTGAACCAGTTTCTTTCTTTCTTTCTTTCTTAGCCAAAGACACCCACCTGGAAAAAAATTTTCCAGAAAAATGTAAGTTTCAGAAAATTTGTATGAACCAGTAACCAAAACCAGGAGATAGAATCAGTACATGCACATAAGCTTGACTGTAGCAATCAACTAATATTCCAGGCTAACAACTCTTTCCTAATAAGTTGCTCTCACGTAAATTGCACATGCTGGTTAGGGTGAGTGAAAGGGAGTGAATAGCTAGAAGAGATACACTGCTCAGGAAAAGGGGATTTGGTGTATTCATATGTCCCAGATCTATAAAAAAAAAAAGTCCTGAAGTTAGTTACATGCAAGATTTTGCTTCCCTTTTCAGGAAAATGTTAGAGATTTTTTTTCTCTGTTACTGTAAGGAAAGGAGTTGGGAGGGTATTAAATGTCCCATTCATTTTGAAGCATACATTTATGTTTTATTTACTGCCGTAGAACTTGCCCCTGTTGAGTACAGGAGCAGCAGGATTGCTTGCTTTTTTCTTGCAACTAACTCCTGCTCTGCTGGTGCCCTGACTTCTTTCAGTGCAAAAAAGAGGTCTGAATAATACCAAATACTTCAAGCAATTTTTAGTTTTATTTGATGGCATCAGTAACCAAAGCAAAAATTGGTAGAAATTAGGATTTCAAAATTAGGGCCAGGTTATCTAGCTGTTGAAAACTGGTAAGCCTGAATTGCATCTGGTCACAAGTGCTTTGCCAGTTTTCCAAAGGCAGCCCTTTTCTAGCATGACCCAGTATAGGGAATTGAGGCTAAGGATTTCAAATTAGGGGACCTGAAACCGGGGCAGCTTTTTGTTTCTGGGAAGGACTAGGTTAGGGTATTTTTAGAGGGCAGAAGAGGGGAAGAACATGCATAGGAAACAAGATCCTGTGGAGCATGACCTTTGGGGTTTCAGAGGAGTGAGAAGGACTAACAGCATAAATGAAGGATTAATGCAAAGGAATTACTGCTCTGGACTTTCCAAATTGCACATGCCCCTTCCTTTCCCTGCAGCATGATTTTATTTTTAATCCTGGACTCTCCATCTGTCTTTTTGGCTTCTCTCTCTGGCTGCTTCAAGGCTGCTGGGCCATGGCTCCAGGCCTCACATGTCAAGTCTTGTAGTCTTTGCTGCATCCTGTCAGGAGAAGAAAGGCAGCCGTGGATGACTGAATTCAACAGCCTGGAGCACAGACAGCAAGCGTGGGGCATTCAGTTTAGTGCCTCTGGGGCAGCTGCTTGGTTTCCTTTCTCCTCAAGGCTAGCCCTGAAATCACAGGGACATAGGAAGGGCACTGAAGGCTGAAGAGGTAGATCTACAAAAGGAGATTTTTTAGTGTCTTTGCTGGACAGGGGCAGTGTGGTAGGAGCTGGGCAGGGTAGTTTGCTAGGAGATAGGAGATGTATGCAGCTGCACCTGTACAGCTGATGAGATTGTCTGCTCCTCAGCTGGATATCCCATGGGACAATTTCAAAGGCACCAAGCACATTTAGGAACCCAAGTCCCATTGAAAGTCATTGACTTGAAAAATCTCCCCCTGTGAACACAATGTGTTCATTGCATGAAAAAGTGTATCTGATATGTGGTGAGGCCATGAATGCTGTGCCCCTGCATTTCTGTAGAGAACAGTTTGAAAGGAAACAGCTGGCCGTAAGACTAGCAAAATTCTGAGCAATAAACATTAAATTAGCATCATGTTCTGAAACATACCTATGTAAAAATAGTACCTTCTTATTCAACAGGTATGTTCCCAGTGTGTGAATAGAGTCAGAACTACTGACTAGTGACAAATATAAGACTTTACATCTTTTTCATAGCCATGAAAAGCCAATGCAACTGGTAAAATAGGGAAATTAGATCCTAATCCAGGTACCAGCAGAAATATTTATAAGGGCCAATCACTTGTCTATGTGAAGACTCCCTGATGAGTTGAGGGTTGTGGAGGAGCTGCCATGGACTGAAATTCAGCTTGCAGCACATTTAGCAGTGAGGGAAGAAAAGAACTTGCCTGGGATTGATTTCATTGCCTAGAGGGGGTTTAAAGAGCTGGCATTCAGAGAGAAAATAGTGCAGACTAGTAAGATGATTTTATGTGATATGGTCAGTAAAGAAGCTTCCACCAAACAATTGTTGCTGAGGCCATTTCTAGGGTGAAACTGATTTTCAGTTCACCCTTACAAATCTTACTCTGCACATGTGTGCTGGACTGCACAGAGGTCTTTGCAGAAGGCAGAATTATCCTTGTCATACATAATAGTATTTACCCCATCCAGATAGCTGCAAATCCATGTCTTTCCTTTGGGACTGTTTTTAGGCCTGAGCAATCCCAGGGAAATAACATGTGAAGTTTTTATAAATCCCTGTTTTGACAGACTTTGTCAGGCCAGTGTGAAACTGTTCCTTATTACTTCTTTTTAGATATCCAATGGAACACAATTCTAATAGTGCTAGTTCTGTTCCAAGATCATAGAAGAGGGATGGAGTTTCTATGGCCCCTTTATGTCTGGGTGCAAGTATTCTCAGAATTTCTACACCTTCTTCAGCTTTACCTAACAGAGCTCTGTCCCTTTCTTATTTTCACATGCAAAGGCTTGCAGGATTTGAGTCAGGTGGCCTTGTCTAGCGTGAGAAATTTGAACAGTTTAATAAGAGGAGCAGCAGAAGCAATTCTGTCATTTTTTTCCAGGAATAGAGTAGCTAGCAGAATTAATAAAGGACTATTTAGCCATCCACCTGTGATCACTTCCTCAGACAAAGATCAAGTCTAAAATTATTGTCATTTACAGACTGTACATTACCAACTGTACATTAGTGAACATGAAAGAATTGAAGGCCTTGGCTCAGTTCCCAGTTCCACATCATAACTCCAGCATCGGACAGATATGAGCTGTTCCCTTGTTGGCATCTCAGCTGGGAAGGTTTAGGATCAAGTAGTTTTGATGCTGAATTCCACTTTCACCCTGGAGCTCAAGGCAGAGCAGTCTGTGCTGTGGAGAAACAAAATTTTTCAGTTTCTATAGCTGCCAGTTCGGTCCATTTTAGGAACACAGAACTGCAGAGAGACCTTTCTGGGTAATTTCTGTTACTGTAGGTAGCCACATTATCTAATCTTTTCCACTAACTGACCAAAGCTCCATTTTATAATTAGCCATGGTACCTTTGTCCCAGAAGGCAATTTCAAAACACAGCTTTTCAGCTAGGAAACAAAAACATAACAACACAAACAATGCCCCTTTGAAAATACTGAAGGAAATAATTTGAACTCTCTTTTATTTGGGGCCTGTTTTCTGGCTGCCTTAATGTTTGTATGTCCTTCAACACCTGTTCATCTATTCATTCATTCATATTCAGTTCAGCAAGGTATTTGAACATCTTCAGAAATGAATGTGTGACGATACTTGACTGAATATGTGCTGGCAGTGACCTACTGCTATGGATGAACAGTTTGAGCTATCTGTGGAGAGGCTCTCCACTGCATTACAAGGTCCATTAACATAGTGCACATCTTAGGAGATGAAGGGTCAAGACCACTTTGAGAAACCTGGATGGAAGTTGAGGATTTGTTTAGTTTATACTGCACATCTTTCATAGGAGGGTGTGGGGCATAAGGAGACCTGAGGGGGGATGGAATGATGCTAACATTCCTCTTGTCCTTGCAGGCTCGGGGATCTGGAGGTGGCAGGAGACGGAATGATGCTGCCTCCCAGGATGATCATGACAAACCCTATGTTTGTGACAGTAAGTAGCAAGCAGACAGCTTATTCTGCTTCCAGCCTGGTCCTACCAGCTCAGTGCACTCAGGGCTTCGTATATTACAGCAAAATATTCTGCTGCTCTCTGACTTGCATGTTTGCCACCTGCTGCTGATGCTCTTGGTGTTTTTGCATGAAGGAAATAAAATTAAGTTCTCGGCAAGACTCCACTTTCCTTTGCCCTTTAATAAATCATCTCTTATCTTTTCTTTCTCTTTTTCTGGCTTCTCTGCCTTTTGTCTTCTTTTCCCCATGTAAGTTTCACCCTCTATTTCTTTCTCTGTTTCAGATAGTTACAAACAAAAGCATAAGTCAAAAATCTCCGACAAAGGTACTTCACCCTTGTTGTGTCTCTTGATATATTTGGTGATTCTCTTCCCTTCAGTCCTTTTAAAATCTCACTGGGATAAATTCTGAAGGTCTTATCCCTCACCAGAAAGTAGTCTTGTGGCATCATCAAAAGCTGAGCCCTTCTAAGAAACAAATAACATCTCAAATGCTTTATTTTGATACATATTCCCTTTGAATGCAGCCCTATTGTTTGGCATCTTGCAGTTGAGCTGCAGGTGGAGCAAGGCATTGTCTGAACAGAAAAATTATACCAGAGCCCAGCATCAAAACTGATGGAGGGTACCAGCGTCCTAGTATGAGTGAGGAGTCCAATATTTGTTACACAGTGGTTTGGGGGTTTTTTAGAGCCTAGTCCTTGATGCCTTCCTTCTTCTTTAGATATTCTTTTTTGATTCACTGTGTCATTTCTGTGAAGGGCACTTATCTTACCCACATATTTTTGAGACATCCCATCTTAAGGCTTACTCTAGAGTGTACATCCAATTTGTGCTACCAGGTGCCTTGTAGACTGTAAGACAATAACCTAAAAAAAGTTAACAGAAGTAGGAGAACAGCAGATCTTCACTTTTGTGGACCAAAGCAGGTGGTTTTCAAGACAACTAGAACTCCCTTTTCTATTATTGGCCTATCTTGCAATGTTACCGACCTTAAAAGAATAACCCTTGCTATGTCAGTCTATGGGGCTATTTTCTGCTGATTTTTAAAAACCTGAGGAAATAAGGAGCATGCATGGTGAATAAGAACTATATTCCACATATTCTTGTATGGTGAGACCAGGTGACTGTATGTGCCCAGAAATGGAAGACTTGCAATGAATGGGACATGACACGTGACAAAAACATGGTCAAGGAGGAAAAGCCCTTTCTGTTATGAAGAGTCAGAAGACTTATGCTGTGGTTAAATAGCAGTCCTAGTGCACTGGAAGAATTAAAATGTGTCTTCTAAAACTTCTGTGAGACCCCAAGATATATCTTGCTGGAATCTACAGGTTTCCTTTGCTGGTATATGCATATCTTTCTTTATCTCTTTTCTGGAACATCCTTCTAAATCCAAGGACACTTGTCAGTGGTAGTAATTGTGAACATAATGACTCTTTATTGTCTGATCTTAGATTGCTTTTGGATTTTACCGAGAACTCACAACATGCATAGTAATGATTTGCACAGAGTAGATTAAACATTGAAGATATCAAAGCAGGCAGCAAATATCTGGCCTGAAGTCAAGACCCTCATACATTGTTGCATTGATAGAATTTTACCTTGGCTTACATTTTGGAGCATAATTTTCGTCTTTGTTGTTGGAAATACAAACTTTCCTATTTCATTTGGCTGACACCTTTCACTTTTAAGGAACTTCCATTTACAGGTGAGTCATAAGGAGTTTTGGACTCCAGACTTTGCACAGTGACTTCTCCTTTTCCATTGTAGATAGCTGACAAAGGGGTTATATGCAGAACTCTTTTACCTGAGTTTAGAGCAGAAAGGAAGAACTGTCCCAGTTGTACTGTCATCATCCTAAAGTATATCCTGCCCTTGTTAAATTTCTATACAAACATGACATACAATTAATTATGAGTAATTGGCCTATTATCCTGCTTGGGTGGATTTCTCAGATTAATCTTTTTCTTTGAAATTACTTGATGAATATTTTTATAGCTAAAACTCAATCTAATTGTGGTAGGTTAGAAATTGGTTCGCAGTACTCCTTGTGCAGATGTTTTGGGCAGATAAGTTTGTTTTACATGGAAACATGCAGGTGAAACACATTGTATGTATTTCCTGTTTGGGAAAGCATTATTCCCTCCATCACATTATTGGTACAGATACCCAGCTTAATGGGCCAACGGTTTGCTTTTTCTGTAGTTTATTTAATTTGCCTCCAGGTTGCTTTTTCTGCAAGTATTCTGATATTTGAGTTTTGAAAATTATTACAGAGAAGAAAGCTAAAACACAGTTAAACCAAATGAATTTTCTTATAAAAACTGCATGGGCACAAAAATGATTTGTGGTCAAAAACTACTTTGCTCTTTATCATATTTACACATTCATATTTATGGGAAACAAGGATATATCAACAGATTTCATCAGTTATACAAAGATTTTAGGAAAAAAACTAGGCTGTTTGTCAGTAAGATGATGCAAGAGTGATGCCCAGCTGGCACTGCCCCTTGTGTTGGAAAATAGCAATGTTACCTCTGAAAATACCTGCCTTTTTCTGTAAGAGGCATTCAGATGTATACCACTATTAAACTTGGTCCCAATATTAAAACTGACTGGAAGCATACAATTTATGTGGTAAAGGTTTTCAAAGCTCAAAACATTTTGACCTCCTGTGTTTTTAAGAAGAGATGGCTGGATGCCTGTTTTGTGGAATGAAATACTCTGAAATACTTCAGCTGGTTTTATTGAGCATATACTGTAGTAGAAGTTCAGAATAAAATGTTTGACCAAAGCATCAATAAAATTGCTTGGATAATCATGAAATGCATTGTTTCATCATATCACCTAGTGATAGAAAACTTGGTGGTCAGATTTTCAACCAGTTGCACTGGATACTGTTGTGCCTTGAGTTCCCTTGGGATAGCTTCGATAGTAGCAGTGGAAGGGACGCCTGGTGGGAGATGGGGATAAACTGCAAATGGTAACAATAGCCAAATGGTTCAGCAGCTGTATGAGAGCAGTCCCAAATGTAGCTTGAACACCTGGCTAAGAGAGGCAGCAGGTGCTTCAAAGAGTGGAAAGTAGGGCTTGAAAAGCAAAGCAAAGCCTCTGATGTCAAACAAGTGGAAGGTAAACCTCCACACTGTTCCTGATAAACAGGGCATGCGATTTTTAAAGGAGGGACAGAGTGAAGGAATGAATGAATACTTATGTTTAATAAGAATTGATGTTCTGTCACTGTCAAATATTCAGCTGGGGAACCATTATTTCCACCAAGCAGTCTTCTTGAAAATCCATCTACTACTTTAATATTATTTATTATATATTACTTACTACTTTTTAAAAAGAACAACCGTCTCTGAAATTTTATCTAGAAATTTGTATTCTGGTTTAAAATTTGATTAAACTGATTTACAATCAGTTGTAGCACTTGAGTTCCATGACTCCAAATGTCTGCTTTCTTTAGCCAGAGAAGTTAGTCTGTGCTGAATCACTGCAAGTTATTAACTTTTCTGCTGTCCCTCTTCACTTTTATGCTTTCATTCTTCTCAAGTTCCCATGGAGACATGGGACTATGTACATGCTTCCATCTTTGTTTTCTGTTCCTCTATCTGTGGAAGATTTCCCTTGCTCACCTCTAAAAGAAATTCTTTATTTATTTTCCTTTTACCAATATGTCCTCATCTCCTTTTGGTTTTATTTCCATATAAACTCCTACTTTAGCATAGTAACTTATATTTCTATCATATCCTTTTTTTGTAGTCCCTCTATAGACTGAGCTGTACATTCACATCCATTCCTTGTGCAAAATGAGCATTGACTGAAACCTTCCTAGGATCTTTGCTGGATCAGTGACCAATGCAACATTGTATGTACCCAGAGACACTGATCTTGCAGTATTTTGTAGAAGCTGATTCTTTTGTCAAGAACTTAATTTTAAAGTTTCTCTAGTTATTTAACCTACATTTTCTCTGCTGAAGTCCAAGACTAGCAGTCCTTGCACTGTTCTCAAGGAATAACAATGTCTTCTTGTCTGTAAACAGCTACGGGGACTTCTTTCAGATGTGTTTTCTTCAGCTCTTTTTACTAAGCTTGTTTCTTTCATTTGGAAAAAACTCCAAAGGGTGTTTTAAAAGTAGTACTGGCCAGAACAAAGTTAAATGTGCTGTTCTGAGGATAGAAGCATTTCTGAAGATGAGTGGTTGATAGATTTACATGTACTTACAATTACTTTCAGAAACTGGATTCATGCAAGTTGCTCTGTTATGTATCAATAAGAGGCAGCGGGATGGCTGACCTAACAGGTTATTTAGTAATCATCTCCTGGTATTATCCTTTCTAGTGAATCCCTAAGTAGATAAGCAGTAAGATCTAGAATAAGATGCTTGTTCAGATGAACTCAACAAACAACTCTCCCATCATAGCTGCTATTCTTGGAATCCATTGACTACATTATTGGTAGAAAAGACAAGATTAGATAGGTAAGGACATTTAATTTTTTTTTTAATACTGAATAACAGATGTGGAATAGAGCACGTGGTAAGAGGGGAACAGAGTTGACTCTGGCAGTTGAACATTTTCTACTCATGTAGGATAGTTTTATTCTTTGCTCTGGCTAGAAACCCATTTATTGAAATGTGCACAGCTGTTTTGTTGAGTGGTGCATATTTTGCACTGGGGTTCAAAGTTATTGTGATCTTAATAGAGCAGGTAGATTCTGGGACTTGTCCTCTGGGGGCACTGAAACAAAGACTATTTACCTCCCTATTCGACCTGCAGAAAATTCCCTATGGAATGGGTTGCTAAATAGCTGCTGTCATACTGTATGTGTATAGTGTGACAGTACTGATCAAAGAGGGATGAATGTGAAGTCTTTCTATCAGTGGAGGTCAAAATGCACTGTTAATGTCTGAGATCTCTAGATGTGCCAGAGTCTGTATACAACTGTAACAGGGGAGAATATACTACCAAACCACTGCAAAACAAGGACAGGTTTTTTGTTTGCTTTTTTTTTTGGGTGGAGTGAATGGTAGGACAGGAAGATAACTTTGAGGAATGACTACCTGCCAGAAGTTAAGTCAAGATTTATTTGACACAGAACAGCTGAGAAGAAAGAACAGGAGGCAACAGAGAAAAGCAAAGAAAGACAATGAGGGGGACAAAATTCAGTGACCAAAAAACAAAAAACCAGCATGTACTCCTCCAGTTTCCTGTTTCCACTAAAAACATGGATTGTTTCCTTCTGTCTCATACTGGTGACAGATTGTGCAAAATGTATGTGGAGAGCTGGCTGGAACACAGCTCACAGGCTGCCAGGGACCAAATGTGTAACTGTTCCAAAATGACAGCAACACAGCCATTAGATATTTGATGAGGAAGTCTTTTAAGTCATAGGTTTCAAATCCCCTTTTTAACAGGGGAAGTATTTTATATTCATTTACTCATTGAGAAATATAAACAGAGTGAGAATTTGCTTATCCAAAGAATTGCAGGGTGCTACAGCCCAGAACTTAGAAGAGAGCTCTCATTTATGAAACACTCCATGATTGCAATTATACTGTTTTCATACATCTTCATATCAGTCTTCAAATTTGAAGGAAAGGATACTGATGGCTTCATAAAAAAATCTGTCCCTCTTCTCCATTTGTGACATTTGGTCTGCACTGATGTATTACTGCTTACTTACCCAGCTTGTTCCTAAGGCAGCATTCACATCAGATCATAGCAAAAATATATCCTTTGAATGCAGGAGGAATTGGAGTGGGTTACATTCTACAAACTCCCACTGTTTTTATTGAGTTTGGCTACCTAATTAAAGATCAAGTCAGCTTCCCAGTGTTGAGATTCAGGATGAAATCTACCACATGCAAGGATGATGAGCCTATCCAGCAAGGAAAATTGAAGATAAAAAAGTCAAAGCCTCTGAAAGGAAGGCCACTGGACAAAGTTTATGAAAGGCACACTCTCACTTGCTATGTGTGAGCTGCATAGTGTTAAAAAATAATCAACAGCATGCATTTCAGACTGGGACAACCAGTTCTCATTATGCTTTTGTCAGTTCTAAGAATGAGAAAGATGTGGTGTAAGCACTGGTGTGGATGTTAGAACTCATGGATTCCAGTCCTGGTAGTGAAAAAAGATCATTGTGTGGGCAACTCAGCCCCTCTGTGGTTCTCTTTTTTCAGAGCCAAAATGAGAATAGTATTTCCCAGTCAGGAATGTGGAGGAAGATTAATTAATGTTTGAAAAGCCAGTCTGCAGTGGGAAGAGTTATATAAGAGCTAAGTGTTTATTAATGATCACCCTTTTGGAGAAACTACTTCTTAGCAAAGTGATATGGTAGATTAATAAAATGTGCTCTTGCCTGGAAAATAAGAGATTAGAGTGAATTCAGGAAGAGTCAATCTGTTGAAGAAACCATGAAGTTCTGACTTAGCTTTCATTCTAGCAGTCTCACTGAAGCCAATGGTTCTTTTGCCTGACTAATATCATGACCCTTATCCCCCTGCAAAAGTCTAATTTGAGGAACATGCAATCTCTACAGTTTCAGTTCATAGCATTGCTTTGGACTCTTTTCATGACACAAAGTGAATTTGAAAAATGGAAAAATCTAGACACCGAGAACAAAGGCTGCTGGAACTGCAAATCTTTGGTCCTACAAAGGATTCGCTAGGACAATGTAAACCAATTTCCCTCCGTTTTGGTTATAAAGTCCCCCAAATCAGTTTCTCACAAGGCATATCTGAGGCTGCTGTCACCCTTGAAGGCCACCTGGAAGTCCTCACAATGGAAAGAACTCAGCTGCAGAAATAGTACTGCCTCAGCTCATATAGATACTTGCTTTTTCCTGGTGAGCTGATACTTTTTTGCTGATGAAGGATGAGTCTGCAGACCCATCTGATGTCCTATGATATCCTTAACTCCATAACTAAAATCCCTGCAGGATCCTGTAAGGAATGGAGTAAAACCACAGTTTTAGGACTTGCTGCTGGGAATGCAAGTTTCCTTTTGTGCACTGATCACTTGATAGTGTTCTGGAAATAACTTGAGAAAAGTCTTTGAGCAGTATTTGTAATTCATAGCAATAGAATTATTTTTTTAACATTCTTCTTCAGACACATAAAAGTAAGTGGGATAGAGTAGGATACTTGATGTGCTGATCCAGCCCATCTAGCAGATGGTCAATCTGCTAGAAATGTAAATCTCTTTCTCCATTCTAAGAAATGCTGCAACATTTATGTAATTAGAGGAGGTTACCATTCTGAAAGAATTTTAGCAATGAGCTCACTCTGTGTTGATGATTACTTAAGTGTTATGCTTTTCCACTATTCAAAACATGGGGAAAGTCATACAGAACTGCCAATATCTTGCTGTTTTGACTCTTGTTCAGCATCTGTTCCACTGCTTGTCCTTTGCCCTGCAGGACCACAGAGAAGGAGAAGTATTTTCCCTCTCCAGAATGCACTGGAAGAAAACAAGGATGGTACTAGAAGAAGGGAGACTGAACTGATGTTTTGTGGAGAGCATGCATCTAACAACAGTCTAGTTCTTCAAAATGTCTGGCAAAGGAGTTAGGTTTCCATAGGAAAAATGAAGGCAGATGCTTCAAGGAGTGCATGTGCATATCTATATGAGTATTTTATTTCTCTCAGTATTCCCTCTTCCCTCCTGCAGGAGGTCTCATTTCTAAATCAAGGCCATGCAAAGCCTTCAAAAATTTGTGACTGAGGACAGGACATATTGCACTTCAAAGAAACTTCTGTCATGTTATGATGACTCTGATCATCACCTTGCACAATGAAGAAAACTGGGACAAAAGTATCTAATATTCCAGATCACTCATACGTATCATGAGCTTGATTTACATGTTTCTAATAGAAGCATTTTCCTTGAGGGAGTTTGTAAATCAGTTAGAAGAGATTAAGAATGAAATATATTGTTGTAATAGGCTTGTATTTACAATTTTTTATAATCTGTTCCAAAAGGCGGAACATCAATTGGTGTTTTCTGAGTAGTAGCAGAAAGGAATAAAATTTTAAGTTTTATTTATACGTAAATGAATAAATGGGATGAGGGTTTTTTTGTTTGTTTGTTTTAATTTTTAAAAAATTTATTTGTGGAGTCTTTGACATTCCCAGACTCAGGTGTCTGGAGAATGGGAAGTAAGCATCTGTATATGTTGCAGGATATACATTGAGGCCAACTTAACTTTTTAGAGTGGATGGTCACTTACCCCTTGGAGATCCTTTTCAGAGGGTTCTGAAAACGGGATTCTGTTTTCTTTTCTGGCACCATTTCCTTTGGCCTTCTAAGCAAGCTATGCAGGACAGACTGCTGGACATGACATTTATTCCTGTGTGAAATCCTTGAGGTTAATTAAGGTAATAAAGTGACTGGAAATGTCTCCGGGAGTAAAAACTTGCAAGAATGGCACTAAGCATTTTATCTTTGTTTTCTAATATTTTAAAATGGCAATATTTGTATTTGGTAGATTAAATAGCTGTATAAAAGAAAATGAACATTCAGAGAATGCTTTGAAGATGAAAAGTGATAAATTTTTGAGACAATAACATGAATTAAAAACTTTATAGAAAATCAATTCTTATGTAATGAATCTTATGATGTTGCCTGCCCTTGCTGTAAGCTCTCTGTGACAGTGTAGACCTTTAATCCCCCTGAGTTGTTTCATTCTGTCCTTAATATCTGTTAACTTAATCCTAAAATAAATGAAAGTTCAGAACAGGATTCTCTGTCACACATTGTATTGTTTATTGGGATGCTGAATATGAAGTTTACCTGGGCAAATAAGTATCACTACCACATGGTTTTTTAGCAAGAAACTGTGGATGATTTCCGTCTCCTTGTCTTATATGGGAATATGTGAATAAAGCTATTTATTAACCTTTTAGAGAAAGTATTTCTTAAAATCCCAGCTGTTTTCTTTTTTCAGAGATCAGTAATGAAGAAAATAATGCCCTTTCTTTTCAGTCTTGTTCCCATTGCTGTGCACTGTGCAGCACCACCGCTGCACAGAACTGGCATTTCATTTAATTTTATGTGCGGTCTTGTTAGTAATCTTAGCAGAGAGGATTAGGGCTCTGTGATCTGCAGAGGCTGAATGTGCATTTGCCTAGGCCTGTGGGAAGGACTGCTGGCAGCATGATGGGAAGAAAGCTTGTTTGGGGACCTGCAGCTGCCGGGCTGCCCTCTGTCACCTCTCACCAGTGCCGGCTGCAAGGGTTTGGGGCAGGCGCATGGAGTGTGTGGTGCTGTTCTCAGGGGAAAAGGGAGCATTATTTGAGAGGATGCTGCTGTGGTTGTAGATCACACTGATGTTTCCGTTCTCTCTTCCCCTCCCTCATATCTCCTTTCCATCCAGTCTGTGGCAAGCGTTACAAGAACAGGCCTGGGCTGAGCTACCACTATGCTCACACTCACCTGGCCAGTGAAGAGGGTGATGAAGCCCGCGAGCAGGAGACCCGCTCTTCCCCTGTCCACCGAAATGAAAACCACAAACGTGAGTAGGATTTTCCCTTTGCCTTTGAGATCCCTTTCAGGGGTGTTGCCTCCACCCTGTCTTTGCCTTGGGGAGGCTGTTGTTATTGCCTGGCTTGGTTGTGAGTGATTGGGACCTGGATGCTTGGAGCTAATCAGCCACAGCTCACACGGGTGCTGGCTCAGCTAGTCAGAAATTCATTTCAAACCCAGCATTATCTCTGCAGCAAGTCACTTTTCCATTACTGCTCCTGTGGGGAAGAGGTGGCAAGGAGAGGGGGGAAAAGAAGAGATGCCCAACCAGCCCATCATCAAGCAGCCTCCCAGCGGCTCTCAGTAAGGATGTCAAAGAAATACACATCCAGTAGTTTCAGGGGGCTGCCTTTTTTTCCCCCCTTAAATAAGAGAAATTTGTCAATGTCTCAGTTTTTCAGTATGAAAATAACAGCACCTTTCTCCCTTATACCTTCACCTGCTGCACAAACAACTTACCCTCAACTTTGCCAAAAGCTGCTTCTTAGTTACAGTTTGACAAAAGCTATGAAAACACATCAGTACTGATCTGCAAGGAGGAGAGCTGGACATGAAGGGAGAATGCCCTTCAATTCCTCACACTGGTACAGCACTGAAAGAAAGATCTAAGTAATTTTTATGTGATTAATCACATATGCTCACTGTGACCATAAGGTCCATCACCCTATTTGACTGTCCATTCTGTGCTCCTTAGGCACAGACCAGGAAGTCAAGAAGACTGTTCTATTACTGATTTTTGCAAATCTCTAATCCCCTGTTTCTCAGTTTTCCAGAGTGCAATACTATGTGATGTTTGCAGTGACCTTGGGATTTGTGTAGATAGTTTGCTCGCTTTCAAAAAGTTCTTTTCGATCAGCATGTGATCTGTGTTATTTTAGTTCAAAGTAATAAAGCAATAAAATGCTTATAGGGAAAAAATATGCAGGAAAATACTTTCTAATACCTTAAGGATTGCAAGAAATATGGAACTAGGAAAACATTTTCTTTCTAAGCAGTATAATTGATAATTGTCCCTAGGGAGGTGTGGGAGGGGGTTTCCTTCCTCCAAAGCATCTGCTACTAGCCACTGTCTGAGCTTGAATGACTGTTTAGTGTGATCCCATTTGGCAAGCTCTATGTTTCTGTCACTTTTATGCTCTACCTTTTAGTTATTCACATGCTTTGTAGATTTGCAGCAAAAGTAATTTTGACTCCTCCAGCTGTTGATAAACTTGAGCTGTCAATGCACTAAGAGTGACTGCTTGGGCAGGCAGGGGAATGTCAGTGTTCAGCCAGTAGCTTCTGTTTACTTACCATTTACATCAGTTTTGGGGTTTGGTTGGTTGGTTGGTTGGTTGGTTGGTTGGTTGGTTTTTTCCTGTGCCTGCAGTAGTCAGTAAGAGTTGCATACCTGAGAGGAATATTGCAAATCTGTATTGAATTAATCTTGATAATGGTGGTGCAATAGATGACCTAAAAAAGAAGGGTAGTGTCCCATGCCCTGATTTCAGCTTGACACAGGTGCCAAGGGGTCTCAGTCTTTGTGTCTTGGCGCTTAGGAAATGATAGAAACCAGCAAGAAGAGCTAGAAAAGCTATGGTAAGGAACAGCTGACTTTGGCCTATGATAAAAGAGGTGCATTCTATACTGTGGAAAAGAGTAGCATGAGAGCTGCTTGGGCTTGTGTTCCCCCAGAGCATGTGGCAAAGGAAAGCTGCTGATGCACAGATCCACAAGCAGGCAGAAATTTAGAACCACTGGGGTAAACCTCTCTGATGCCCAGATTCCTGAGTGGAAAGAATAACCAGCCAGGAGCCAGTGAGGTATGGGCAACAGCAACAACCATGCAAATGTGCAGATCAGCCTTGGGGAAAGTCCCAGATGCTGGAAGGTAACTGTCCCAAATGGTGAGCTGTCACAGTGGCTGTTTGTTCCTTTTTTGCCTGTTTGTTTGCTTGCTTACAGCCTTGAGCTCAGAACTTGCATCTTTGCTCTTCCACTTGGCGATATTTAATTTATGCTGCCATTTATCTTCCATGTGAATGCTAATTGTCCACATTGCTAATGTGCAGTCATTAAACGGTCCCTTTGTACAGGGGGATGGTGGGGAGCCAGAGCATCAGATCCTTCCTCTCCCCTAAGAACTGCTAGGCATGTGCTATGAATTAGATTTGACAGGTCTGCAGCATCATAGGTCTTGAGCTTCAACAGTCCTCTCTGCATGGGCTTGGGGGGTGGGGTAGGTGGGAGGGAGGGAAGGCAGGCAGAGGGATGTTAATCCAAACAGATAATCTGCAACCCACTGAGCAGGAGGACCAGAGATATGGTGCAGAGTGGGATCTGGTTATTTGCTGAGCAGTATGTCAGAGATACAAGCAGCCTGATTTAGAAAAGGCAAGGCAAATCAAACCAGCCATTTGGAATTTGTTGTGCCCTGGGAGGTGAGCACCAGGTCAGTAAAGTTCAGGCAGGCAGCTGCAGCATGAACTTCCTTCCTTTGTACCCTCTGTCTCCTCTACAGCTTCCAGTCCTTGCAGAACCTGCAGTAAGAGCAGCCCTGGTGATGCAGGAGGGAGCAGGGCTTCTGCGGGATTCAACTTGATGCCCTAACTGGTGCCAGATCAAGACCTGAAAACCTCTTGTCTTTCTGCATGTTCAGTCCCCTCTATTTCATGCACAGACCAATTTGAGTAGGTCAGAGAACTATCCAGAGATTGGGAAAGAGATGTAGATAGGAGGAACCTACCTAAAACTGAGAACCATTGAATAGGTGAGCATCAAAGAACTGGGACTGGACCAAGTCCCATGTGTCACCTCCTTGGCACATCTCACTGTCCTTGACTATGTAGAAGGTTTGTCTGTTTTCATCTCTTTACATCTCTCTCTCCCTCTGTCCTCGTTTCTCACATATAGATTACCTGTTGCAACATGAAAGATAGTTCAACAATCAACACCCTAGCCTGTGTTCTGTTTGAGCTTTAGTGGCTTGCTTTGTATGCTTTATCTAGCCCTTTGACACAAATAAATAGCCCTTCCTCAGTGTCTAGTTTTGCCTCTGCCTATACAAACATTTATTTCTGACCTGCTCCCTGATTTTTTTGCCTGAGTATTGAACTGTGGAAAGGAAATTATAGAAAACCCTTTAAAAAGTCAACTTCCCCTTTCCTCAACTCCACTGAAAAAATAAATGATACCACACAATTTTCAGACTTTTTCTCTGCTGGCTTTTCCTCTACATCTTGGCACCGAGACCGTGAGATTTGTGAGCCCAGGGTGCATCCAAGCCTGCCACAAAACACCTGCTGTTTTATTCCATCTCTCTCCATGGGTACAGGCCAGCTCTGGGGGCAGCTGGTGCTCACAAATTTTGAGACACTTCTGATATAGGGATTACATTAGACTTCTATCTATTGAAATGTCTCTGTGAATGAGTGTACTAGTATAAATGCTCTTTCTTAATTCCTGGGAGAATAGGATAGTGTGTCTACATGGAGAAAAACTTCCTCTCCTTTAAAGGAGAAGAGTTTTCAGTGGCATTTGGCTGTGTGAAATGTTGATTGCAGGTGGCTGTGCAGAAACAGCAACTGAACAGGATCTCATGCCCACAAGCACTTTGGCCAATGACAATCCCAAATGAAGTACATGTGCTGAGTGCAGGTTGATCCATTGTGCAATACATGTAGTTAAGGAAGATGCTTTCCTGTGCCCTCCTGCCCCTCTGCTAGGTTAAACATCTGCCCTACAAAACCACTGTGTACACTATTTCATGGCATCAGCCTGTTGTGCCCAGTTCCATCACAGATTTTATTATGTGGATAAATCTCTACTGGAGGGACCAGCCAAAGTTGTTTGTGTACTCTAAGCATAATTGGATACCCGGTCTCCAGAGATAAAAAATTAATGTGCTAACCTCAGTGTGCCTCCAAGCTGTCCTCCAGCTCCCCTACACAGTCATCTTTGAAACATTTTATTTCAATCCAGGCAGGGGGCTGGCCATGAATAAATGAGGAGAGTCAGCCCCTCAGTTGGAGACGAGCTGTTTGTTCCTCTCCACAAGCAGCATCAATTTGAAAAGCTACATCAGGTCTACTTTTCCCTGCCTCAGTGCTGATCCTTGCTGAGGCCATGGTGGGAGCTACTTCCGAATGCAAGGATGCATCAATGCCCGCCTTGCAGCAAGATACCCTGCAGCAGGTGCTTTTCAGTGAAAATATGTACATTACCTTGAGTTGGCTTCTTAGTCATTTAATCTGTTTGGGTTTTTTCTCTTTTCAGAGTTTGTTTTCATAAGGAAAAACACTCAAAATGCTAAAAGAAACAGTAGTGATTGGATTGTTTGAACTGTGTAAAGATTTCCCTCAAAATCCTGTTTGCAGCTGTAAATTACTGAGACTTCTGTGCATATATTTTGCAATGCTGAGTTAAAAAATTGATCAGTTGTTTAGAGTTATGGCATAGTGGAAAGTCCCAAACTCATCTCCTATGTAGAAGGAGAGCTAATAATCAGCCCACCTTTTTTTGGTTTGTTTTGATTGGAATCATGGGGTGGTTGTTTTGTTAGCTTGGTGTTTCTTTTCTATACTGCCTGGACAGGGACTAAAATGTTGCTGTTGATGTGCAACTGTCATTGAAGAGAAGTACTGAGTGCTTCTCAGTAGTTTATGGCAAAATATTTCCAATCTAATTGGTTTATGAAAATCCTGTGTTGCTTCAACATCAGCTCTTGATTTAGGATGATATAATTTATGTATTTATTTTTTTCTTTTTCTGCTATCTCCCTGTTTTTTCTGCCTTTTTTTCCCTCCTTCATGTAGAGTTTGAACCAAGTAAAATCCAAAAGCTTTGACTGAGTTTGAACTGAGTAGGTGCTTTCTGCCTTCTCACACCCCTCCAGTGAGTAATTTCCAGATAAAAGCCTGCAAGATGTTGCAGGGACCCAATTTATGGCACTGGCCATTCTCACTGGAATATTGAGGAATGCTGCCAGATGGGGCTGTATATTGGGCATTA